AATTGCTTTCCATTATTGGTGCTCAACCACGACCACGCCTGGCAAGCCACTCTCCACGAATATCGTTCAGACATCCTTCGTGGTATCACATGTGCGAACGAGGTTACTCGGTCGGTTTCCACGCGAGGCACATGTTGGTCATGCGAGGGATGCAGCTGCTGTCACCATCTCCATGACAGAAGCTGCCAGACACGCTTCTAATTCTCCGAGGAGTTCGCTCACAACGCAACTTCAAAAGAGGGGGGGGGGTCCTGCTTAGTAAATCTGAATATCTCGCCGAAGGAAATAAAAAAGCAAGGAGTCTCGACTAATTCCCTCAACGAAGCTTTTACCATTTCCGTGCTCTTTCGGGGAAGCAACAACGACCAATCAGGCTTAGGAAGATCGAGGACATTATATAGGTTCGGCTCCACGTGGCTTTATCCAGTTCTGACCTCTTGGGGGTTCGTTCAGATCGCCGGAGGGTTCTGCAGTAACGAATTGGGATCGACAGGTTCCGGTAAAGCTCTCAAAGGGAATGTCCTCGGGCAAAATTGCAGCGACGACCATCGAAGCTGACCCAGCTCGGTAAGGGACACTTACCAAGGTATGCGCGGAGCGACAGCGATGTTCACTGTCGAAGTTGATAAACTCGTAATTAAGATTTGGAAGATGTAGGTCGGATGCGTATGAGCAGTATACAAGAACGAACAACACAGTCATCAGCTCACTAGCTCAACGAATGACGCAAGGTGCAAGGTCAAGTGTTAAGCCGGCTCCGTCAACCTCAACACTCGAGGCAGACTAGATAACACTTTAACACGACATGGCCGGGGCCCTATCACTAAGTGTTGACAGATATATTCGCAACTTGCAAGGATCGGTGGGCTACGATTGACCAAGGAGGATGATACTGCAAGTGCGATGCGAGCCGAGAAGGGCGACAGGGAGCTAAACTGGCTGACGCATTACCACCGGAGGACGCCCAAGCAACGGCAACGAACAAAGTCTCGAAGAGAAAAGCAAGACCACATACTGAAGCCAAATCAAGTCCGACCCACTATTTGTCCAAGAGCTGAAGCTCAACGTTCAGCCGAAAGACGTCAGAGAGGTGATCAATACTCGCAAACTATGTATATCCAGATACCCGACCAACCATACTGGGGCCAAGTCATTTCCGACGGCCACGCTGATCGGCAATGATGCGCAATACCCGACCAAGACGGCCGAGCTGTGGTAGGTATTTTATCGGGTCGGATATGGGTAGGGCATGGTAATGGGGTCAGGCATTCGAAATCGATCTTGCGGATGGTATATTAACGGGGTCTGACATTGAGATGTGAGGTCGTTACGAAACTACAGTGGCCAACTTGTTTGCTATTTGTTATGAAACTCCTCCCATATATAGAAGTTATCGATTCCTAGCCATTTGGTCTTGCTGGTAACCACTTCTAACC